ACAACCCAAGGTATTGCAAATGGGGTATGTCCAGTCTTTTTTAGTAGCCATTTGGTCACAAACACTGGCCAAAGTTAACGTTAGTATTTGTTTGTGTGAAAAATCCAAAAACGCCAATTTTGGCCAGTGTTTGTGACTCAGTGGCTACTAAAAAAGACTGGACATACCCCGTTTGCAATACCTTGGGTTGTCTACTATTGCAAATGGTATGCCATCATAGGGGTAATTTTCATTCTTGGGCTACCATAGGGTCTCAAAGGCAACGTAACCAATCTGACAAATTTTAATGTGAAAAAAATGAAACACAAGCCTTATATCTGACGCTGTAACTTTTGAAAACACCATAAAACCTGTACATGAGGGGTACTGTTGTACTCGGAAGACTTCACTGAACACAAATATTTGTGTTTCAAACAGTAAAAAGTATCACAGCAATAATATTGTCTGTGTAATGCTGTTTGTGCGTGAAAAATGCAAAAAAACGTCACTTTTACTGGCGATATCATCGTTGTAATACATTTTACTGTTTTGGAACACTAATATTTGTGTTCAGCGAAGTCTCCTGAGTAGAACAGTACCCCCCATGTACAGGTTTTATGGTGTCTCGGAAAGTTATAGGGTTAAATATAGTGCTAGCAAATTAAATTCCCTTTACTTTCGGCATGGGTTGTCAGGCAGGTCCTACTAATTGTAATTAATTAAGATACCTAATTATGTAAAAATATTACATAAATATATATGTAGAATTAATATATGTATATATATACGTATGTGTATATATATGTATATATCTATATAATTTAAAAAATATATTTTTATTTATATATAGGTATATATATAGTGATATATACGTATATATTTATGTATATAGATATATATATTATTTTGTTCTACGTGTATTTTGATATATATATTAATTTCACAATACAGTTAGAACGAAATAACACACATCTATATATTTTTTAATTATTTTTTTTTTATTATTTTTTTTTATTTTTTAACGTATTTACATTTTAATTTTTTTTATATTATATATAAATATATATATAACAATAATTATAAATATATTTAATCAGTATTAGTCTAGGTGTAATTTGATATATTTATATATATATATATATATATATATATATATATTATAGCAAAATACACCTAGACGGTGTACATGTGTGTATGTATATGTGTGTATATATATATACTTAGATCATATATATATAATATATATATATGATCTAAGTATATATATATATTTTTTTTACATCATTTATTTGTTTTAATTTTATTTTCAGCCAGCAGGGGGACCACCTGTCATTACAGGCAGCCCCCCTGCTGGCAATACAGAAGCCAGCTATCCCCGGCCATGTGATTGTGGGGTCCTCGCAAGGACCCCACTCTCACATGGCCGGGGGGCTTCGTGGAGGACGGAAGTGCCGCGGGGGGCTCCCTGGGTGTCCCCCCACCGCGATCGCCGGCGTGGGATCGC